ATAAGGTTTACTTGAATAAAACAAACAATTTGAGTAAAAATAAAACGAATAAAATGAATAAAAGCGAAATTTGTATATATTATGAATAGAAACCACGCATTAATATTAAACAAACAAATAGCTTTTATTGCAAAATAATTAATTTTGTTCCTTTGATGTTAATGATTGAATTGATCACACAAGCAATAGTCAATTTAAACAGCATTGTTTTAAAAATATTTATTTTAAATGTATAAAGTTTAATGATTTTTAATGTTGCAAAATTTTTTTGATACATCAATCTCAATCCATATTTATATACTTTAAAGTTTCTTTATTTCTTTTTTGGTAAATAATAAATTTATCCTTTTTTTATTTGTTTTAGTAGATTCAAATAGATTTTATTAGATCAAAAATGGTACATTACAGCAAATTTCGGAGAATCAATTATCAATTATGCAAAAACACACATAATAAGTAAATATAGCTTATAGCATAGATCCTGTAGAGTATGCATGCAAATTTTCGTGTTTTCTGATTTTTGCTGTCATTATTATTTTATTAAAAATTGAAATTTCGATTATTTTCAAAAAAGAAAAAGATATAGGAAATTAAAATAATTTATAAAGCCTAGTGCTAGGCCACAAACCACATAGTCAACTTCGTTATTCCGTTTAAAATTAGTATTTAGGTTTAACAAATTTGGTTTAACGGAGTGGATTTACTGTGTATTTGGTTTAACAGGGTTTTTCGGATTAATAGGGTTGAATACGTAGTTGTGTACTTTATTATAAAAAATCTTTAGAAATAATTATATAAATTTATTTGTTTATCTGTTAAGCATAGTGATAGTGGAAATTTGAAATGTTACACTAATTTTTTATATCGTGCGACGTAACTTTACAATACACGGCAAACATTCTGGCAATAAAAAGTAAGTTATAAATTGAATTTGAATTGGATCTGAACTTGATCTCCAATTTAGAGAGGTAAAAACTATATGCTGGTGAAGTTTCAGGAGCAATGGGTTCTGTATAACATTTAACGATATTCTAATTTTTTCCCTTTTAAATATATATACGTACCAATAACTAGACCCACCATCAATCCTCTCACGATTTAAAGTGTCGACTGCCAGAGAAACAACAGGATCGGAGCACTGGTCATCAAAAGGTAAGTGCTGGCAAACGAAGGCGTTTATTTAGTCTGATATTTCACAGGTACCAACAACGTGGGTGGTGCTTATCATCACCCTGGAATTTTGAGATCCTTCTACCTTTTCATTGATCAACAATTCTGATTTTTGTGGGGGGTGTCCAAATCTCAACTCTTCAAGCAAATGAAAAAAATCCAAATCTTCCTCCTGTCATTGCAGCCTGGACAAGAACAGAAGGAAAAACACTTCCATGCTGGTGAAAAGAAAACCATTTGCGAATTTCGATTGACCATATAGTTTTTTTCTGTCAAAGAGTGCAAGAGAGAAGGAGTATGAGAGTATTTCAATTCAGACTAATGTTGTTTGATGAAGTGTTACCAAAATAGTAAAACTGTTATGTCAAATTCACTGCCATTATATCAAAAATGACAAGTAAAATTGCTTGTATGGCTAAAAATATATATTCTTTGATTTTTTATTTTATATTTTTTTTTTGTGTCTCCTTTGTTTCATCAGTTGTAGCTAAACTTTTGTGATTGAATCATTATTTTATCAAGTAAAATTAATCTTTAATAAACTTTCGAAAATAAAAACATTGTCTTTATTTTCTTTGTTTAAAGCGCTTTGATAAAAGCAACAAGTGTAATGCCTCGGTAAACTGTGGAACTTTGGTAAAAAGCCACGTTTTATTTCTTTAATGAGCAAGGTTATGAGTGTTAACAATGGTTAGTAACGTAATTTGCTTTAGTGATAGGACTAACGTTGGTTAACTCGTGAGAGTTAATGAAGTGTTGTTCAATGGTTAATAAGAAATACTGATGGCATTATTATAATCGTAAACATGAGGCTGCTAAACAAGCTACTTAAAGTTATTTTGCAAATAAACCAAAGAGAGTTTGCAATCGGCCAATAAATATAAACAAGGGTAAACGACTGAAATAAATTGACCACAAGAAACTTTATAGAAGCCTCGAGCTTTGTAAAAGTAAATTCGTAAACTAATTACACAGTGAATTTCGATTTCGTAGATAATTTGGGCAATTAAGGAAAATTTTCCAAAAATCCGTTAAACTGAGGTATCCGCTATATCAAGAAGGTTTTTATTAAGGTTTATTATGAAACCGTTCTCTGGACTTTATCTGTAAAACTGAGATTTTTAATTAGTATCCACTAAATCGAGTTCACTGTGTAATTGACAAGCACTGAATTATTGTGAGTTGTTAGCAATTAACTGACAAAAGTAGACCAAAAGTTAAGCCGTAATCAGCATTAATCAAAAGCTACTTTAAATATTACCATTTAACAAGAATCGGAAAACTGTAAAAAGTTTATTACTTCAAAATAATTTAGCTTTAAGAAATGAAATAAAGATAAAATAAAAAGATAAATAATTATAACAAATAAATTTATAGTGGAGATTAAATTAGTCATTTATCGATTCTTTCTTTTAATTAACAGAATCTAATTAGTTAAAAAAGGTTGTTAATAATAATTGATGAATAGTAATTTCCAATTAATTATTTAATAATGAAATTTTTATTCACCTTCAACACTTATGAGAAGAGAGTTAAAATCAAGATTATTTAATGCACTATCATTACTCGTTAAGCTTTTAGATTTAGAAATCTCTTCATCTAATAATCTACTTTTATGATATGCATTTGGATGCGATTTGTATACTTGTTGTGAATCACTACCACCATTATTAAAATCATTTTCATGATTTTTGATTCTAGAAAATTTGAGTAATAATCTTTTTATTAAATTATTATTGTCACTACTATTATTTTTCAAACCTTCAGCTGCATGAATTTCTCCATGTTTATTTTTAGCAAATTCATAAAGCTCTCTACTAGTTGGTCTTTTTGATGGATCCACATCCCAACACCTCTGCATCATTTGCACATAATCATCAGGCATTCCTGGTAATATTGGTGGTCGTAAACCTTCCGCGCATATATCAAAAATTAAATGGTGATTGTGACCTCTATTATCAAATGGTGGGTGTCCTGCAAATATTTCCCACATTAACATCCCAACGCTATAGATATCTGATTCTTTTGTGTTCTTTATATTAATTTTGCCTCTAAGTAGTTCAGGTGCAATATATGATACAATTCCATACAATTGATCTGATGATTCTCTATCAACTGGTCCACATAATCCTAAATCTGAAATATAACAACCACCTCCTTGCAACAATACATTACCACTATGTAAATCACAATGGATTAAGCCTTTTTCATGTATTTGATGTAATGCATCACATAGATAATCAATGATTATAATTCTGTTTTTTAATGTTAAGTTTAAATGATTTTTTTGCAAAAAATCCCTTAAACTTCCATCTGATAAATAAGGTAAAACCATTGCATAATTTCCATTATTTGAGAATTTAGTTATTCCATAACAAGGAATAATCATTTGTGATTTAATTTTACAATGATTCATTGCCTGAAAATAAATATAAAATCAATCAATATTATATAATACAGTATTGTTTTAAGTGACAACTACCAACCTCATCAAAAAAGCTTTTTCCTAGATTACTTGAGCCATTTAAATTTTTTAATACTACACCTTGTACTCCAAAATAACTAAATTCCTTTTTATTCTCATCATAATCATCAATACTTCCTCTTGTCCATATAGCAGTATAAATTGAACTAAATCCACCTTCAGTTAACTTTGTTATATCCTCAAATTGTTCAAAAGGTATCCATTCTAAAATACCATCTGGTAGAGATGATTTCATTTGACATTGTTGAATAAAGTTATCAACTATGTCGTTTCCAGACGTCCAGGTAGTGAAAAGACTCTGTAATTGTAAACTAATACAACCTTCACAGAATCTATCAGAATATTTTGTCAAGTTACATTTGTTACATTCTTTTGATTTGCCTTTTTTATTTCTTGCATTTGTTAATTCAAAGTCATAAATAAACCTTTCCTTGCAATATTTTTTTTCATTTTCAGAAAGCTCCTTGTTTTTATTGACTAACGAAAAAAAATAATCCTTTCTATTTTCTCTTTCAGAATTAACTAGAGCATTATTATGCATTTCAGCATTAATTTTAAATACAAATTTCCTTCTTTCTGGTGATAATGATGATAATAATAATTTATATTGCGACATTATATAAAATAATAAATATAAAAACTTGACTTGGTGTTTTAATGAGAAACGAGTTTTTTTTTTTTTCAGTTACGTCATTTCCTTTTTTCTTTTGCTACACGAAACGTTATACAGATCCCATTGCTCCGGAGATCCTATTCCAGAATGTTTGCCGTGTATTGTAAAGTTACGTTGCACAATATAAAAAATTAGTTAACATAAGAAATTGCTTTAAAGGCTCATATAAAGTAAACATATATTCTTTAATTTTCAATCTTTATATTTTTCTTGTGTATATGCCCCAATCTCTCCTTTGTTTCATAAGGTGTTTCCAAAGAGCTTTACTGAACACAAATTCAGTTCACACACACTCATTTACTATTTAAACTCGAACATTTCTTATATTAATATTAGTAACGTGATACATGATCAGATAGATAAGATCGTCAAGTACTTTATGTTCCAGGGTAAACTAATTTTATCTATGGTAATTGTTATCAAATGAAAAATTTACGAAAGTTTTTATTATTATCAAATTACTGTGTAAATAATTTATGAAAGTTTTTATAATATCAGTTAAGTTATTTTGCAATAATAATATGAAACTCCCGATATTATTATTAATATCTGGTTTACCAAGTCAACCAAAACATTTAAATCCCTGATTGGAGGATTTTATTTTATTTTTTTGGGGTAGTTCGATGCAGAGGTTTTTATTGATATCTGTTGTTCTTTCGTAAAGCTTTTTAAATGGAATGTATTTTACTTGTATACAATGAGAAAGTAAGTCTAAAAATGTTCACTGATAAAAAAAAGAAAATTGCCGTGTTACTGTCTATACATGCTATGGTAATTATTTTGCCAAAAACGTAATACGTAATACGTAATTACGAAATTAATTACGAAATCAATTACGCGTGACGAAATCAATTACGAATGACGAAATTAAATGACATCTATTATTTATCTCGTTATACTAGTATAATGACATAATTTGTCAACTTTTTTTAGAAATATAGAATTTATTCGGTTATAACAACATGTCAGTATAATGGATAACCAATCAAAATCATTCTCATTTCTGAAAAAACATAAGGAAATAAAACTTATGCCGGGATCAAGATTGACTGGCAC